AAAAAAGGTTGTGTAGCGTTGAACTTCATAGGGAAGTATGTTAGAGAACATTACATAACATTACAGAAATTCATATACATATTTTCATTTTTACAGTACATTACCTAACAAGAGTGCCCTCTGAGGACTTTATCCTGCAACCAAAAGTCATGTGAATAGGTGAATAGTTTTTTATGAGTAAATCCCTCTGAGATCAATAAAACTACTTTGAGTAAAGACCAGGCATTTTGTTATATAATAAAATCTCTTTCATTTATTCCTTGTGAGATTTTTAAAATATCCTTGCACACCTTTTTTCTCTAACTATGCTTTTTTAAGATCTGTTGCCTGAAGGGAGGATGCTTTCTGGAAGAGTATTTGCTGATCGGAGCATTCACCACCTTTCACCTCAAACAATCCCCCTTTCTCCTCCCCACAACTCTGCAAGGAAAGATTTTCCTCAAGTAGAGTTTTACCATTTTGAATTCACTGAACATTCAATCAAATTCCCCAGCCACAATTTAGAAAACACTTTCTAAAGTGGATGCTTCTTTTTGTTCTTTCATTTTATGCACCATTATCAAAAAATGAGGCGAATCAAATTTTTTAAAACTCTGATTACATCCCCAGTTGAGCTGAAATTCTGTGCTGGTCCAGAGTAGGAAACTTGGTAATGGAACAGAGCTGTGGTCACCTACTCTAGGTGTCTGATATTTATACCACTGCACAAGCTGCAACCTTACTGTATATTTAAACAATGTATTAAAAAGAGTGCACACAAATAAAGACTGACAGCTAGATATAAACCAGAACCAGCTGGAGTAAGGGGGCTGTGGTACTGTATCTTCTCTCATGAAACATTTTGCCATCTGCTAAAATCACTGTATATTTTATAATTATCATAGAAGATGAGCACTGTTGAACTCTGAAGTATTGACTTAGAAGATTTGGATGATCTCTAGAAAGAAAGTATTACAAAAATGTATTGCAGGAAAAAATAGTCTTCTTGGGATTCCTCTTTTTAAGGGGGGATCAAAAGAATGTAATAAAAATCAGTTTACTTTGTACAGAAATGCAATAGGATTTTAGAGCTGTTTTACAAATAAAAAGAAAGAATAGACCCACTTTGGGGACTGATGTGGTACAATGTTAGGACATTTAATCTGAAGTTTTTAACTCCCATGGTATTATGTTTGTTTTAACAAAGATTGGTTCTATTGTGGTTGTAAAGGTAACACACATTTGGAGCAAAGCTGTTCTAAATCTGTTTAACCAAATCCAAGCAGTGAAACTGTAGGAATCTAAAAAGTGCAAAAAAAAGCTTAATGCTCACCACACAGGGTAGATGTCAGCTGGCTTCATGTATTTATGTGGCTGAAAAGATACATTCTTTTCTGATCCTGATTGACTGATTTTTAACTTTTGTTTAAATTAATTCAGTTTTTAGTCCTTGTGGTTGCAAAAATAACCTTCTAATACGATCTGAATGTAATGGATGCAGCACTGTCTTCCTAAATCTGCAGACAGCCTGAAACAATGACTTCAAAGGGTGTGAACTTTTCTACTACCATTAATCTGATTGGCATATTAACGATAAATAGCTAATGCTCATGTTAAATTAACTGCTGATCATTTTAACAGATGAGATCTAGGAGGAGGTGGGACTTGGGAGTTGCTGCAGGGGAAGAACAGAGGACACCTATATACAAAGATATAGAGGAGCGAGAGAAACAGAGAAAGGAGGATGGAGAAGAAAGTGAAACAAAGAGCAGTGGTCCTAAAGGAGAGCAGATGTTCTTTCAGAGTGGTTCTGGATATAGCAATAAGATCCCGAGCAGCTAATAGTAATAATGAAAGCAACTAAAAGTATAGTTACTTACATAAAGGCAAGATTCTATGCTGGGTGTCTCTGCAAATCTTCCACTGATATCAGTAGGAGCTCCATTGAGGATTAAGAACAGTATGGCATCCAGTAGGAGCTCCATTGAGGATTAAGAACAGTATGGCATCCTATATTTGCATGTTGGCCTCTGAACTATAATTTAAAATAAAATTCTCTCTCTCTCCATTGAATGAGTTTGATGTTCTGGCTTAGTCAGTAATATTTACTTTTGTACCCTAGCAAACCATTTCCTCACTGTTGTCTTCAAGGAGAATAGCTTCTCCACATCCATGATACTGACAGACCACACAGCAGGCACATATTCTAGCCCTTGTTTATAGGCCCAAATTCTCTGTCCAGTGCCCAACCTGAATAACCCAGCTGGCTGGTGGAGATCCTACCCCAAAAGCTGAAGTAGGTTTTGTGGCCCTACTGTACCATAGACCAGCTGGGAGGGAAAGAGATCACGATCCATGTAGGCAGTAGCTTTTCTGTCCCTTGAAGCTATTATGCATGGTTGTGCCAGGAGCACCTGAACAGTGGTGCTCCATAGCTTGGAGGGTTCTTAGAAAGTTCTGATGTGACATGTAATTTAGACTGAAAAACCTCAGGTTGTTTCAGTGCAATTCAATGGGCTCACTCCCAGCAAGTCAAGTGATAATGGACCTGTCCACTGCCACTATCACAAAGATATTTGTGAAGAAGAAGGTGACATCACTGCAAGAGGAGACCATTGTATAACTTAGCCAGGACACAGTGTTATACCCAGTGCCCTACGACAATTGGAGAAAATTTAAACCTCACTCTTCTGTGATGTTTTCCATACATGTTGTGTAAAACAGGCTCCCAGGACACCTTCATAAGGGTAGTTTCTGGGAATGAAGAGGGAGGTTGTGCAAATATTAATGTAGTCTCTGACTAAATTAATTTTGTTCTGGATTTCCCATAGGCTTCAGGGAAGGATGATATGGGTTTCTTGGCCCATCCTCTCTACATCTGTGGACTTTTGACTCCATGAGGGCTCTGTGGAGAGTCCAGGCCTGGGGATGCTGATACAAAGGCAGGCAACACCTGCCTTCCACATAGGATTTAGGTACAGAAGGCCTCCTCTACCCTGATAATTTTGTGGGAATGTTTGGACCCAAAATTATGACACTACAAGGAAAGGTGAGGAGTTTTTGGGGGGTAGGAGAGAGAGGGAGGGAGAGAGGGAGAAAGCAAAGGTTACATGCTCAGTGAGAGTTTACATTTCTATTATTCACCCTTCCTAGTCTCATTCTTGTTTGCTCACAGATATTTGAATAGACTTCTGCTGCACACCATATATTCTGTGTTCCAGTGTGTATAATAGACACCAATTATGAATCCTTTTCAAATCTATGATGTTTTATCTAGGAAGTATTAAATTTACAGAACATCCAGTCTGTGTCACTAAATGAATCCATTGACTAACTGAACCAACTGTCACACATGTGCCCAGACGTTAAAAGGCTAAAACTTTCTACCTTACGCTATTGCTAGGTTGGTATAATTTGCTCTAAGAATCTGCATGGCATAATAATGTTTAAGATCCTAGATTGAAATCTCCTCATGGTAGGGTCTTGGAGTTATTGTCTTGCATAGTGACAAGACTGACAAATAATAACGATAATTATTTGAATCTTGTAGCAAAATATATGTTTTGAAAGCTGATCAGTGCAGGTCTATTGCAAGAAGTTCTGAAACCAGTGGTTTAGCTTTAAAGTTGTGTATATATCTATCCAGCTCCAGTCTCTTAACTTGCCAATACTTTGTTTAAAATTAATCACATGCCTGCTTTTGAACTTAATGGTAAGGTAGCTTCTTTATAAAACCTCTGAAATGAAAACAATCACTTAAAACGCTCAGTCTACAGTCTGCAGTAAATCAAATGTCTCACTTGTTTAAATGTTACTGAACATATCCTCATCGAAGAAAAAAAAACCTCATTGTTCTCAGTTTTTGGAAAGTAATATCCTCTTTAAAATTTATTATTTTTTAGAAAAACAGCCATTTAATAAAAGCTGATATTTATCATTTCAGCACAGTTTAAATTAATATTAAAGTGGATTTATGCTTATTATATTGATAGTATAAAATTTATGATGTCCTTAACAGTTCACCTCCTTGCCTTTTAATAAATCAGGATGAGTAAATGACTTGTTAGAAAAATACATTGTTTTAATTTAACTACTTTAAATGCTTTCAGAAAAAAGTGTGTGTGTGGGGGGAGTTTGGATTGTATTACTACCTTGGTAAAGGCTTTTAGAGTAAGGGGGTCCAATTCTGCAATCCTAAATCACATGAGTAACCCTGTTAAAGGCAATGGGACTGCTTGTATGAGTATAAGGATTACAGTTTTGGGCCCATAATTTTAGTGGCCTAAATAAGTCTGGGTCAGATTCTCTAGTCTGCTTAGCCCAGCTTGCACTGAATGGTCATCCGGTGGTGACTGAAGAACTGCCCCTTTGCAGGGGAATTCTCCATTGGCAGAGACAGTAATTCTTCCTGCTTCCACCCCACTCTTGGCAAAAGGGGATCGGAGGAGATGGGTCTAGAGAATTCTGAGGCTGTACCATTTCCTTTTTATCAGGGACCTTACATTAGTGGAGAGTTGAGCTTAGTGGAATTCTGCTCTTCCACACCCCATTCTCCTCCCTGTCGGACTCATTTCCCTCTCCCAGAATGCCCATCATGGACGTTCCATCTTCCCCTTGTAGACATTAGTACATCGGAGGTGTAAGTCAGAGCTGCTCCTGTGTATCTCTAACTTGCATTGTGGCCAGTTGACTGAAGATCAAGGAGCCACAATGAGCTCCCTTCAGTGTTCCCTCTTCACTGTGGGGCGGACAATCTGCCTCATCTGTTTCCAGCAGCTGTATCCATCCTTGAATGTCCCATCTGATCAAAATTGTGTCTCACCTACTTTTCATGTCTTTTTCTGCAAGTGGAACAATACCTTTCCCAAACCCTACAAGGGTAATATTTTATAACCAATAATTAATTCTATAACATTATACAAGACAAATCCTAGGATTCCTTTCCCAATGTTTGATTTGTGTATTGATTGATAACAGATTCAGGCTCAAGAGCACCGCCTATTGATGAATACACCAGGGGTCAGTCCCAGAGCACCCGTTATTAGTGTTAATGTAATTGACATCAACACTTCCCTCTGAAATCCATAACCTCTAGGACCAAGCAGTCAAGGAAACTTTTGGAAACAACTGACATGGGCCTATTTTTGTTGTTATTGTTTCTGGGATTAACATGGAGACATTTGTTTTATTGTAGACATTAGTCTGAGTGTTCAGAGATTAACTTCTGAGTACAAAACTTCTTATGAACTAATATAACATGATTACAACTTAAAATGGAGACTATTTATGGCAATACAACCTTTTTCTGGGATTGCCTCAGATCTCACAGGCTAAATAGGGCCAGACTTGGATGGGAGTTGGTGTGGGAGTCATTAGGTGGCATATTGCCTTTTAAGTCAATATTGAACCAATGCCACATATTAGGGTTAATATAGTTTACATCTTCCCTGGCCTCATTCTTCAAGGTGACCTGTCATGTCCCAGTGTGAAAGAGGGAATGGGATTCAGGTCATGTGGGGAACACAGGCCAAGTTAAGGAGAGAGGTTCTGGCTGAGGAGAATGAATCTATCATGAAAGGTTTCAGAGTAGCAGCCGTGTTAGTCTGTATCCGCAAAAAGAAGAACAGGAGGACTTGTGGCCCTCCCATGGTAGAACCTGCAGGAACTGTAGCAGAGCCAGAAATCTGTCCAAGACAGAAAGGATGGTCCTGTGGCTGCAGTGCTATGCTAGCACTTAAAAGACCTTTGTTCAATTCCCTGGTCTACTACAGACTTCCTGTGTGATCTTGTGCAAGACAATTAATCTCTTTGTGCCTCACAGGGGTACTAGAGATGGAGTTCTATTATCCTCAGCAAAGTGGGGATAACAGTGCTGCTCTGCCTCACAGGGGTACTAGAGATGGGCAGGAATTTCTGTTAGGAATGATTCTTCCCTCCAAAAAAACCCTTTTTTCAAAACCAAAATTTTCCAAAGGCATTCCAGGCAGGCAGCTGAAACATTCTGTTTTAGTTCTCCCGAAAAGCAGTTTTTCTTGAAATCCCTTCCTGTGAAAAACTTCATATTTTTGACATTTTCTCATGCCTTGGGGGGGAATTTGTTTAAAAAAAGAAATTTTTGAGGGGATTTTGATTCTCTAACTAGCTGTAATAAATACATTAAAGATTGTAAAGCTCTCAGATACTATGGTAACAGGGGTTATATAAGTACAATAGATAGTGTATTTCTCTTTACTATGTGGTCTGTGTACTATTTAAGATGTCATTAAATATTCATTACCTAGATTTTAAATATTTAGGTTTTCTAAATAATGCAATAAGTAAATATATTGTTGTCATTTAGCTAGCTTCACTGGTTTTTCATATAGATCTCATTGGGTCTTCATGTCAATACAGATAACAGTTGGAACTCTCAATACAACAAGAGGGCACTACTTGTCGTCCATTAGCAAACGAACAAAAAATTCTTGGAAGGGCTTGACTGCAGGACAGTTATTTTCTCTCTTGAATTAAAGAAAAAGCAAATAAATTGCAAAGTACTTTTCCAATTTTTTTAATTATTGCATTTTTCATCATCAGTATTTCCCAACTTTTGTTCAATCAAATGCACTCTTTGTATCTGTATAATTGTGTTTGTATTTACATTTTCCCAGGCTCTTGTAGCGCCTCAAGGAGTAATTTATGGGGCTATAATAATGTGTTATATTATCATGGCCCCATAAATGACTTCCTGAGGCACTAAAAGAGCCTGGGAAAATGTAAACACAAATACAAACAAGAAACAAATACCTGCAAAACAAAGAAAGCACAAAGAAGGGTAATATATGACCCTATGCTCACCTCTGTTTAAAGCCTCAACCCAGCTCCCATTGAGGTCAGTAGGAGTTTTATTTTTGACTTCAGTGGAAGCAAAACTGTGTGTCTTAAAACCTCAACTGTAATATTGTTAGCTTTTATATTTAAAGATACTGATTGTATCTATTTAGTGATATAAGGCTATAATTAGTCACTACTAAATATAAAAAATGTAATTTAGTACTGAATATTTGGAAATGCTCCCTTTTCTTTATTTTTGATTCATTAGTAAGTTATCTAGGGATTTTTATTCCTTCAGGAAGCAATATAGTCCAGTGGACTGGGAATCAGGGGACCTGGATTCTATCCTCAGCATTACAAATTGCTATGTGACCTTATGGAAGTCATTTAGGGCCAGACCTCTAATTCCAGGTGTCCAACTTTAGCCACGTTGCACTGATTGACTCTTGCTCTGGGGCTGCAAAGCAGCAGAAAACTGGCTAACTGGGGGCCTGAGGATACTCCGGTGAAAGGGCAATTCTTGGGTGGCAAATAGTTGCCATAGCACCATTTTGCCATCCCTCCTTCCTAGGTTCTTGATTCATGGGATGTTTCCAGGAGGCAAGAAGCAAGGCATGGATAAGTTGCTTTGCTATCCCCAGCTGCTGGAACACCTTCTTGGTTCTGTGGGCAGCTGGGTGTAAGTCAGAGCAGAGATCAGGGTACTCTAACATATCCTGGTGTCCAGACTGGCACATGGAAACCCCAGGATCCAGAAATGTAAAGCCACTTTGGCCCTAGGCATAGGGGGGATTTGTGCTGTCCTGATCAGACAGGCAGTGCAGAAATTAAGGCAGGTGAGAACCCTCCTTACTTGTCAGGAATTGAAATATAATGAAAACCCCCCAATTTATCTGATAGACACTTCCTCGAGACCAAGACATGTGCATATGGAACTGAATTGCCATTCTCTTGTGTCTGAGGTGCATTTAGATAATTACCTCTTTCTTTAGATTGAAAACACTTTTTCATACATGTAATGAATGGCTACTTAAATGCTCACTAAGGGTCTAAGTTCACGGAAGCAAAAAGTCATGGGAGTTGGAGAACAATGAAGAGTTGATTAAAATACTGAGACCTGAAGAACAAAATCAAATTGTTATTTTCCAAATGATAAGCAGCA